TCTTTAAAACAGCCTTAAGACATCATAATGTTGTCTGGGTGTTTTTTTAGGGTAACAAATACATAAAGCGTGCATTAAGTACTTTTATTTTAAAAATATACTGGTAATTTTTTCCAAAATAATCATGGCGGTCTCAAAATTGTAGCCCAATAGAAGTTTCGCTCATTTTTTATTCTCTGTTTGTATTCTCTACTGACAACTTTTCTTTCACTAAATCGAGTTTTTTTAAATCACTGATTGTAAATTTGATGTTGGAATGTCAAAATTCAATATGGTGAATCTAATATGGCGCGCCAAAAAATGAAAAAATATTAATTTACATAAAAATCGGTATTTAAGCGTTTTTTGGATCTTTGATTCTAAATTTGAAGTCAAATTTTTAAAATTAAAAATGGTTTATCCAATACGGCAAACAAAAATTAAACACTTTCCAATTTATATCAAAATCAATATTTAGGATTTTTGTGGGCTGCTGCTTTTAAAATTAGATAGATTCTTAGATAAATTTAGTGAGATTTTTAAAATTTAAAATAAATGATCTAGTTTTGGCGGAATGAGAAAGTAAATAATAATAAATTTACATAAACTTTGCTATTATTGAACTTTACTAGGCAATAATTGTTTTTTATGTATTTATATTGCCCTTTGCTTATCGAATTGTTTTCGATGTCACCCGATTCTCACCGCGAGGAAATGATAACAATAACGAAGAATAACGGTGAGGACAATAACGGAGAATCATGTTCTTTCTTTTTTGTTTTTTGCATTTTTGCAATTTTGTGCATTTGGGCGTTAATGGGTTAATACAGTATATAAATTAAGTTTAACGTGTTTACAGACGTATTACATACAACTTAAGATTATTTCATGTTATAAATTATACATTATTTTGTGATTAAATAACAGGTTGTAAAACAATAGATTGTAAAAATACAAACAGAAAAAGAGTAAAAATGTGTATATTTCCAAAAAATGCAAAACAAAGATCGGAATGGATAAATAATATTGGGACAATAAGAGTGGATGGAACAAAATGATTAAAACGACATGCAGTTCCAACAAGTCTTGGGGATCTTGTCATTCAGATACCAAGTAAACAAAAAAAAACAGAAAACAGATAACTCGCTCTCCATTTCTTAAATTTTTTAATTTTTTGGAAATTTTTTGTTTTTAATTTTTCTGATATTTTTCTTATTGTCTATTTTATATATTTTTAGTTTTTTAAAATGAATATCAAACAAATTAATGTCAAACAAATTAATAATTTGATTGTAAGTTAAAAAATGTATCATTACTTGAGGTTTAAAGCTTAACAACAATTGGAAATTGTTTAATTTTTTATTTGCCATATTGGATATACCATTTTTAATTTTAAAAATTTGACTTCAAATTAAGAGTCAAAAACCCCTAAATATCGATTTTTATATAAATTAACAATATTTTCACTTTTTGGCCTGCCATATTGAATCCACCATTTTGAATTTTGACATTCCAATATCAAATTTATAATCAGTGATCTAAAAAACTCGATTCTATGAAAAAAGTTGTCAGTAGAGAATACAAACAGAGAATCAAGAAAAGCGAAATTTCTATGTATTGGGCTACAATTTTGAGACCGCCATGATTATTTTGAAAAAAAACACCGGTATATTTTTAAAGTAAAAATACTAAGTGCACGTCTTATATACTTGTTACTCTGAGAAAACAGTATTTTGCAAGAAAAATTTGAGATAATTATGAAAAAAATACTGTAAAAGTTATGATTTTTTAATTTAAATCTTAAAAAACTAATATTAAATGACATTTTGGAGTATTTTACCAAAATCCAGAATCAAAAAGAGCACACCCAAAAATAGTAATAATATAAAATACTAGTATATTAAGGTAAGTATTTTCAGAAAAAAAATTATTGCATTTTCACTGAGTTATAGGCGTTCGAAGCACTGAAAACATTTTGTGCATTTGGACGTTAATGGGTTCAGCAGATTGAGCAGATTTAATTTTTATCTGACTTGACTTAATTGCAGTGGCGATGCAACTAAATTTGCTCAATCCAGAAACTTGGCCAGTTTTATCTAATCTTTTCTCGGTACACTAAATCGTTATTGACTCATTAATTATTCACTATAGAATCAGTTGTAATCTAGCCTTTGTCTAATCGTTACATATCATATCAAATATGATAGAATAATTGATACTGTGTATCTGTTTTAAAATATATAATTAATAAATATATAATAAATATTAATAAATATTAATAAATATATAATTTAGTTATATCGCTACTAGCACTCTGGAATTAAATACACGAAAGAGAATTCGGTTTGTATAACTGATTGTCTGAGGACTAATCTCGGTTATGTACACTGCATCATGTACACTTTACTATTCCTTAGATCGAGAATTTTTATACTATTTTCAAACTTACGCGTATATTTGTAAGACTAAAAATCTCGATCTAATGAATGATGAGGAGTATATGATACGGTGTCTAGGAACAAAAAGATTCCTGTAGGAGATTTCTATTCAGTCAATTGTTTTCAGTTATCTCAACTGAGTTTTAAGAAAGTGCTAAGTATCGACATAATACTATTTTAAATTGCTCCTCTACTTGATTTTATAGAATTGCAAATGCTTATATAAAGTAAAAATGTCAATGAACATGGTTGAGTATTCCCTACGCTTAAAAATTTTTTTATTTATAAATTAAAAAATTTGTAGTATAACATTATCCAATATTTCGCTATTGTTTGATATATACTTTTATTTTGTATAAGTATTTACACTTATGAACGATAAAATAGAAAAACAGTACAAAATACGAAAGCTACATTGTATCGATACCCAGTATCCTCTTAACGCAGCTGAATATCTAGATAAGTATTTTCGTTTCACAATAACATTATTTCTCAAGTTTCAGGTCGCCATTTTGTTACACAAACTGAAATTATTTTTTTTGTATAATATATTATAATGAAAAATACGTTATTTAATAAAAATCTTAAAGCAACAGTGAGTCACATTACTGGCTGACAACTGTGATTTTTCATCTCATAACTATAATTTCTTATGTCTAGCGATCAGATATTTTATTTATTTAATCGCTAAAAAAAGTAGACATTATATTACTGGCTAATGACGATGTTATATGAATATAATTTACTACTATGGCTAGACGAGTTTCAATTTCTACTTAGGTTGTTTTTATTAAACAATATAACAATCCCAATTATCAATAAATTAATTTATTAATTAATTTAATTATTTAATTATTTAAATAAATTTCTTTAATTATTTAAGTTTAATTATTTAAATAAATATTATTTATTAAATTAAGTTTAAATTTATCGATAGAATATTAAAAAGAACTGTTAATACCAGTGTAAACAATAAATATTATAGTTTTAAAGCAAAATTATTAGATTAAAAAAATTAATTAATTATAAATTTAAAAAATACTTAAACTGTTTGTGCGTTTTTTATCCTTATAACGAGTCATACGATATCCAATTGTATATTAGTAATATCCATATTTAAATTGTTTTAGTCTATATAGAACTATAATAATATACAGGATGTCCCATTTTAATCGATCACCTCAAATATCTCTTGAACAGTGCATTTTAGAGAAAAATGTTTCAGATAAAAGTTTTGGGATTTCGAGGGGGGCATAAGATGATATCATTGGTTTGATTTCGAGTGGCGTCGTCAAGGCCAGGACAAGGTCACTTTGAATTTTTTAAATGGAACGCCCCATTTTTCATTACATATTTTTATAACACACCTCGAGAGCTTTCCAAAATACTGTAATAAAATATTTTTTCATTAAGTATCTTTCGAGTTAAGAGGTTTCAAATTTACAATATTGTTACCATTAGCATTGATACCTAAGGTATTCGATCGACGGCTAAAATCTTTTGAATGTTGTTCAGGACCATGACCTTGACAACATTTGTCAAGGTCAAGGCGATTGTAGGCTGTTCTTAATTATTCTTATTTTCATTTCTTCAAAATTTACAGTGAAAATGAAAATAATAATTTAAAATCATGGGATGACATGTGCGACTCGATTAATCCCAAAAAGTCATATCAAGGTCACAATGTTCTTTGTGTCAAAATAATAGCTCGTAAACTAGAGGTAAAGTCGTTGATCGGTGATCCATTAATTTAAAACAAGGCCATTGATAATTCAGCCACCTAAGGCAAGAACGTCTTATTATTTTCGTTTTCACTGTAAAATTTAAAGAAATGAAAATATTAGGAACAATCTCCAATCGTCTTGACCTTGACAAATGTTATCAAGATCATGGCCCTGAATAACATTCAAAAGGTTTTAGCCGTCGGTCGAACACCTTGAGTACCAATGCTAATGGCAACAATATTGTAACTTTGAAGCCTTTTAACTCGAAAGATACTTAATGAAAAAATATTTTATTATAGTGTCTTGGAAAGCTCTCGAGATATGCTATAAGAATATGTAATGAAAAATAGGGGGTTCAATTTAAAAAATTCAAATTGACCTTGTCCTGACCTTGACGACGCCACTCGAGGTTAAACCAATGATATCATTTTATGTCCCCCTCGAAATTCCAAAACTTTTATCTGAGATATGTTTCCCTAAAATGCACTGTTCAAGAGATATTTGAGGTGATCGATTAAAATGGGACACTCTATATGTATTGAGGATAACTAAAAAACTAAAAGTTTCATAAATCTAAAAAGTCGATAAAGCAAATTATTTTCTAGATTTTTTCCTTAAATATGAATAATATTTGTGAACATAATATTAGAATATAATTATATGAAAACTAAAGAATGTAAAAAAAACTTTTTCAGTATTTTCATTATATATAATGTGTATTCTTAATAAATAAAGTTAACTTGAAATTAGGAATCGACCCATAACTGAAACTATTATCTAATTGAGTCACATTTTATCGAAAATATAAAACGCAACTTTTTGCTTAACCTAATAGGATAAATGATAAAGACGTGCTTACTCCTTTCGTCCGTCCGGCGTCTATCGCGGATCTCGCTTTTTCCTGGATGACCCTTGCCAGCCGGCACACGACCACACCATTATCTAGCACGTCGAAGAAATTGTCGCCTGTTATGTAATCCACATCTGAAATCCGCAAATTATGGATTTAGCTGATAAACCCATCGTATTAGAGAATTCGATCGGACAATTTCCACACGCGCACGCACTTACGTACACGTGTACAAATGTTCTCTCGGCATAAATTGCAGACATCTTTCAATAACACTCAAGTGATTCGTGATAAAACGGTATATTGTAATAAAAAAATAGCTCGTCATTCGCATTTATTCAACCTTTTTTATCAAACTTTTGTAACTTATTATTATATTCTGTGGCTAGCCCTCCCGTTTTCTTAATAGTTATAATTATAATACATAGACTTTAACATTTCGTACGAGTCAACAAGTTTCGCAGTGTAATTAGTAAAAACGACTAAATTTGTAACAAGGCTTAAATGGTTTAAGCAAAGGCTAACAAGGCTCATAAAGATTGAACGCTACATCGCCGATCGAGAATCTTTCAGCAAATTTACTAAGAAAGAGATGGCCAGTCAGGATACACAATCGGGATGTAATTGCAGTCATCACGCGTAAGTATACCAGATTCAACGGTGATTCGTCCATGCATCGAATGTCGATCGGCGAGCCGGTTCGATTGGTCGAAGAAAGTCTGTTCGAAGAAACAAATTTACTTCAAGTGATCGTACCGTAAATCATTTATCACGATACATCAGCGCACAATGCTCTCAAGGACGACAAGTTTAATGGGAATCGTCAAGTCGCCTAGAAGACAATGAAAGTCGTTAGTTTAGACCGTAACGACTTACGATCCAAATCTCTCAGCCTTCTTGCGTCTTGTGAGCTCCGAAAAGACCCAAATGCCATTTGGAAAGTTGAAAAGCTGTGCTTCAATCCGTATACAGAGTGTTTCTTAAACATTGTCCAATATATTAAGAGTTGTCATTTAAGTAATTTTGTGAAAAAATGTTCATATAAACATGTAGCCTCAAAAATCTGGTTTCAAAAATGGAGAGTGTTCAATATTCTATAAAATTACCGGTTATTTAAATCCTTTATATTTATTTTGAGCTATTCCTAAATTTGTTATATTAGCAAAGTACTGTTTCTATTGATACAATGCGATCAATCCATCTTAGATAGAATTATATTATTCGTTCCAATAGTGATTTTCTTGTTGAAAAAGCCAATATAGTAATCGTGTGCAGAGCAGAATCGTTGGAGTTCGAAATTGTATAGTTTTCTACAAAAAGAAGTAAATAAATTTTATTTTCTCAATTTTTTATCAATGTAATTTTAAAATACAAGGTTAATGTTTTATGTTCATTATTATGATTATAAGATTTATTAAATTTTCTAGCTGGAACACACACATTAAACATGAATGTATAATTATGTATATATACATTCAGAAAACCATATTTCTCAACGATCAATTTTACTCGGACCTCAAAATATTTCATCAAGAACGATTTTTAAGATTATTTTATAAAGAAAAAAAATTTTACTCAAACAAGATCGATGCTTGGCCTTAAAGAATTAATAATTTTTAAACTATAATATAATAGTTAGTTTTGTAAGAATATCAACAAGGTTTAGATAGTACATTCGCACGAACTTGTAATCCAATGGCCGAAATGAAATTTTTTGTATATTTTTATTATTTTATTAACTGCGCTTATAAAAGTCCTTTCATGGTCATAATTTAGAAGATATTTGCGTTTCAATGTAGAATTTTTAACATCTTAAATCTTTGAAATGAGTTCATATGGATATGAACATATGGTCGCAAGACCATACGTTCATATCCATATGAACTTCTCTTTATAAAATAATATCAAGAATTATTCCTTAAAATATTGAACAGTGTTAAGAAAAAAAAGTACTCTGTAAAACACAATCAGTCAAGCAGAAAAGTAATCGGGTCGCGGTTACTCTTATGATAGGTTATACTTATATATAACATTATCATGTCACTTCAGTTTCATTTAGATGTTAGCCGCAGATATTGGCAGATCATAAGCACACACACGTTCCATATTTTCAAATAATAAAACTTTCCGATACTCACGCTCTAATGGAATCTCTAAAAGATCGCCCGACACTTAATGAATTCCAACTTTCCCCTGGAACGAGACTCCTTTTGGTCCCGCCGCAAATTGTTTAATATCCTCCACGAAGAAATTTCCATTTCTGTTTCCTTTGTTTCTGACATGAAGCGTCCGTTGATTCGAATCGACGCTCATTATTCACCAGTATTAATTATCGCGCCCATCGCTTCTCGTCATCTCTGCTTCACGCCCATTATATGTTCTCGCAGTACTGATTCAAACAAGGACTTTATTTATCCTGACAAATTGCCCAATTTTCTCTCACGAAAGCACTTCTGTTTCTATTCTTCTCGTTCGTGTTCATGTTCGTTAATCATGCGCGTTAATCCAAGTCTATACTGACTATTAGCTACTATCTATTACCGTTCGCGATATCCACTGCTGTACCTTCTTCGTATTCATTATCTTCCAACGGCTTATGCGCGAATATGGCTATACGGTAGATGATAGAGTGTGCTCATCTTCGCGCCGGTTTGCTCACCACCAGCCGTTATCTGTTACCGCTTCCCGCTCTCGATCCGTTATCTCGCGTCTTCGGATACGGACGAATGTGTCCTTGCGCTTCACGATCGTTATGCGATTATATATGTCTCATTGGAGATCTTGATAGATATTGGAGCAGTTGAATTTTACCGGATATGTGAGCACGATTTAAATAAGCAGATGCTCTCTCTTTCTCTCTTGGGGGAATCTCGTCTACGATTTTCATTTTGTTGCATCGCATTGCGTTGCGCCGGTGCGCCACGTATTTCTAAGTGCGCAATTTATTTTATTAACCGTCACATATATCATAAACTTCGTGGTGTGAAACATGAAACACAAGCGTTACAGAAATCGTGCATCTAACTATCAAAGTTAGATCCAAACGGAGCTCGGGAAGACGCTTCGTGTTTATAGCTGAGGGAGCTCACAAAAAGAGTATAATTGTGGCGTTTGGAACGACAGAAAGAAAAGAACACTAATTTTTGCGCGCACTCGGATATACGTAGTGCATTTCTGATCTCTCGAAAGTTGATACGCGTGTCCCATTTATATTTAAAACAGGAAAGTTTGCAAGAGTGCCCCGCTTGAAAACACTTTGAAATGAGGGGTGTCGGTATCTCCGGCACACACCGTTTCTCTCCCAGAGTGGAGCGGCCGATCGACGAGCGGAAAACTCGCAGAGTCGCAACACGATCCCATAGATATCTATATAGATATAGAGCGGACACGATGGGAAATAGGAACTAGGTTGGGCCGGCGCAGCGATAGAGCTTCGTTGATACGGATGGTAATGAGAACCCGCGAGCACGGGCTCGTGACTCGACCCGGTAACAACAATAGGATTGCACCGGGGGCCACCATGGAAAGAACGGGGTTTTAACGGCGAGCTCCACACGCGCAGCGCAGAACCCATCACGTGGTGCGGTATAATAGACCCGCGTTATTGGCTACGTACATTGGAGTTGCAAGCACGTTAGAGAGGTAGAGTCGAGCCGATCCGCGAATTCCCGCCAGAAAAATTGATAAATTGAAAGAAAGAAAAGATTGGGATAAGAATCTGATAAGAATCTGTCGCAACGTGACGCGATGAATCTCTAAGCTTATGTAATCAAGAACACTCAAAAAAGTAGTCCTACAGTCACATATAGAGTAAATGATTTAGATATTAGAGAAATTTGCTGAGACGAATAAAAGATCAGTAAACACTGCGATATCACACATGTTTTGTATTTAATCAATATAAATGACAGATAGAATTTTTACTTATATTGCTTGTGGAATTTAGCACGAAGTCTCTCTGACTCTCATCCAGATTAAGGCTAGTAACACTTCTTATAAAAGTGACTGTAGTAAACAAAAAAGACTAGTGACGAGAAACAAACTAATGTATAATCCCCATATCCACCTAAACATATCTTGCTAGCAGATATTGCTGAAATGTCGCTGCTTTCTATGTACCATAGATAATTTTTTAGCAAAAACAACGATACATTTTAATTGTAATATTTAGAATTCTATCTGGACCAGCAAAACATTTTTTTGAGTAGACAGACCATGTAATGTGATTAAATTCTGACTATTGTACGCTTATTTGTATACGTTTGGTCAATAAGAAGTATGAAAAATCACTCAGAATATTTTGTTACTACTATACAATTTGAAAATAAAAAGTTATATAAGGAATTATATATATACAAGGTGTCTGACTCGTACCGTACCAGAGCTAATATATAGCTAGAATAGGTCGGGGTAAGTAATGGAATCGGTGTCTTTTTTTAAACAACCATGTTTCACAAAATTTCGAGTTATTAAATAAAGTAGATGAGCTAATCAGAGCACGGCGACGTGGCAAGCGGAACATACGACTCGCCGCGGCTGGCGAAGAAAATGGACGATTGCTCGCGAACCTATTTCATAAGACAGAGAGGTGGGCCGTTTGGTAACAGCTACCAAATAAGATAGGCCCGTGAACAATCGTCTATTTTCTTCACCAGTCGCGGCGAGCGGTTATTTACAAAAAGACACCGATTCGATTACTCATTCCGACCTATTCTAGCTATATATTAGATACAGTACGAGTCAGACATTCTGTATAAATAGAAAGAGTCTCAGAATTGGGATTTTTTCAAACACGATATTTTAGAGAAAAATGTTTCAAACAAAAAGTATAT